TGTATTGGTGGTTGCATGTGCCCCATCGATTGGGTGGAAAAAATGCAGTCCCCAATAGGTGGGGGTCTGGTAGTGTTTCCTGAGATGTCTGGAGAAACTAAAAATGTTAATTATATTTACATTTTTTTAAATTTCCTCAGGCTGAATACACACTGGTTACAGCAGCTGTTCAATTGTTTTACCCATGTCATGGGGTGGCAAGGTTTCTCATTGTAATGGGAGCATAATATTTCTCTGTTATTAAGGCAAGCAATAACACACAGCTTGCAAAACTTACTCATTTGGCTATAGTTCCACAGTAAGTGTGGGCACCAACAAGGCTGGATGAATGGGTTATGGGTGCTGTAGCTTCGTAACAGGATCCCAAAAGATGGATACATTCTGCACATGGCACAGGATCACTGAATGCAAATGACTAGGACAGTAGCATGAACTTAAGTGGTCATGAGCAAAGCCTCATGACACTCACTTCTGTATTTCAAGCTTTGCCATAAATTGCCCAATTATATATTTGCAGGGTTATCAGACTTATTAGAAAGACCCACTAGAGTTGCATTGTGTTAAAGAGCAGGTGTGGGAGGATTTTCCTACCACATTAACAGCTAACTAGAGTGTGTAAACCTAGATACCCACATCACTGCCTGTTTGGTAATTGACTCAGCACTTCATTTTCCATTGTGAAAATGACTTCCTGTCTTCTAGGGGCTAGAAAATTTATCTGCCTCTTTTTTTTCCAGATTGCACTGTGAAATGTTCCTTTGAAAGAAAGCAATTATCACAGTTGCAAGTTACACCAACGCAAATAGCCATAATAGGTGAGTAGAGGCTATCAGCCATGGGATACTTGCACTTTTTCAGGGTCTTTCCAAATTAACAGCACTTATGTAATATTATGCTGCTGTGCATTAAGAGGGGGAGCTCGTTTGGTTTGTTACTTTAAATTACTAGTCACTTACAATAGTACATAATGAAAGTAGGTGACATGAGTGCTCAATATAAGTACAGTACATATAGAAAAGCTGAAGTATTGCAAAAGGGCATGCTCTGTCATACAATAAAAGAAGTAGCCTTGCTAAGTGTGACTTTTTTTCTTTTTACAGTGGTGAGCATCCAGGCCCTAAGGAAATTTATGGTATTATTGCAGGGGAAACTCAAAGAATACTACTGTAATATTGAAGAGAAACCGCAGGTCTAATATGCACAGTTGATCAATTCATTTCTATGTCCCTTATGAGAATGAAGTCTCATTTAAGGCTTGGTTTTCTATTCTCTGCCTACTGTCAAGGCCGAGAACTACTTGGGACAGTATGGTCTTGGTTTATCTTGGAGGTTATGGGAAGACATCACCTTGTTAAAACACCTAGGGAAAACGGGTGTTCAAGATGTTGATTAAGATGTTATACTGGGCTTGGCAAGTCATAAAAACTTCACGTATCATCTAAAGGTTCACATTAAAAAAATTGAACCTTGATGCAGACTGATGCTGTATTTTGGCCAAAACTGGGGTCTTCCTCGTTACTGTTCCAGAGGTTCCCAGTAACTGATTGAGAAAAGTTGTTTAGTTTTTTTTCTATGATTCTTTTATTATACCTGCTTCTTCAAGAAATTTCTTTCTTGAGCTTTTTTCCAAAGAAAAAAGAACCTTAGGCTTTAGCAAAACAATTATTAAGTATTATCTTGTCCCAACCATTATCTAGTACTGTGGTTCCCAACCTTTTTTTGACCAGAGAGCACTTTGACCAGGGACATCAGTACCAAAAAAAGGTTACGGATCAGTCTCCATCATTAGTACCAAAAGGATTACGAATCAATTTTGGTCAAATTTAGATTTGGTTTGGTGATTTGGGGTGCTGATTCAGAAAATTGCATTGGATAGACCACATCAACTCTAGTTTCTGATACAGAACATATGCCATCCAGTAGCTGCCACCTACGTGCCCACAAAAAACCATATTTAATAATCTAGAGCTGATGTGGTAGTAGTAATCTTTCATGGGTAGTCAGCTTCTCTCCTCCTGACATCCCCGTTGCCTCAGTACTATAAGAGGGTTTCCCAAGACCAGTCACTCTTGTTGCTGCATGGTTTTGAGGCAACAGTGTAATACTGGTGAGGACGTGGGTCATATTTTCATTCTTGGGGACCACTGGTGGTCCACAGACCACAGGTTGGGAACCACTGACCTAGAACAAATGAGCAACAATTATGCAGTAGGAGAAATGCAACACGGAATAGGTAAAGAGGCAGTACAGGAATATCTAGATACTCTAAACCAGGGGTCCTCAAACTTTTTAAACATAGGGCCAGGTCACAATCCCTAAAACTGTTGGAGGGCCGGATTATAATCTGGAAAAAAAAATGAATGAATTCCTATACACACTGCACATATCTTATCTGTAGTGCAAAAAACACTTTAAAACAATACAATAATTAAAATAAAGAACAATTTAAACAAATATAAACTTATTAATATTTTAATGGGAAGTGTGGGTCTGCTTTTGGCTGATGAGATAGGGTTGTTGTTGTTGTGTGCTTTCAAGTCATTTCAGACTTAGGTTGACCCTGAGCGGGGGCCGGGTAAATGACCTTGGAGGGCCGTATGTGGCCCTTGGGCCTTAGTTTGAGGACCCTTGCTCTAAACGAATCCAAGTCTCTAGGGCTAATGAATTACATCCAAGGATATTAAAAGAACTGGGGAAAAATAATTTCAGAACAATAGGCAATAATCTTTGAGAATTCCTGGAAAACAGAAGTTACAGCAGACTGGAAGAAGGTAAATGAAAAGAAAAGAAAAGAAAGAAAGAAAGAAAACTCAGATAACTACTGCCTAGTCAGCCTGACATCAGTACCCGAAAATGTTCTATAGCAGATCATTAAACAGTCTGTAAGCACAAGAAAGGAATGCCATGATCACGAAAAGTCAACATTGCTTTCTTAGAAACAAGTCATGCCAGACTAATTTTATCAGTTTTATGACAGAGCTCAAAGCTTGGTAAAAGAAATTCCACCTAAACATTAGGAATAACTTCTTGACAGTAACAGCTGTTTGTCAGTGTAATATATTGCTTTAGGGTGTAATGAAGTATCCTTCCCTTGAGATTTTTAATGCAGTGGCTGGATGGCCATCTGTCAGGAGTGCTTTGGTTATGTTCCTGCATGGCAAGAAACTGGACTACATGGCCCTTGTGGTTTCTTCCAACTGTATGATTCAATGTGAAAAAACTCCCACCAGTTTGGGACCTAAATGAGCCCTTAATTGTCTCCTTGACCACAACTAAATAATAATTTCCTGTTTGCATGTCTGGTACTGTTTACAACACGAGCATTACAGGAGTAGTCATCCATAACAGGATCAAATAAAGTTCAGCTTTGTGGCAGCAAGCAGTCGCCAACCCCTTCAGGAATATATACCAGTGCAAGTTCTCCATAGGTAGTAAAACTGGGATCATTCATGTCATGATGGCTGGCTACTCTGTTTGTTTGCCATATATCTTATGGTATGTCAAAAATATTACAAATGAAGATTTGCTGAATGGAAGAGCGGAAGAAGGTGATTGGGAAAGCTGATTCATGCACTACAATTTCCAATGGCAATGGAAATTGGGGAGAAAGCAGAAGCATGTTATACAAGCAGTCTTACCATCACCAGGAAAAGGAAAACATATAACTCAATAAAGGATGAAAATCCACAGTAAATAAATAAATTGATATTAGGGGCAGGGTCTCTACCGAAATCCCTGTTGCGCTGTTAATTGAATCTAATGTTTCTTTGGTTAAAGCAAAGTTAATCCTCCTTTTTGAGAATACCAAGAGGTAAACAAATGCCTTGATCCCTAAGGTTTTAGTCATCCCACGCTCACAGGAACAGGGCTTTGATGCTGAAGGGGCTGGAACTCCACCCTTTTGCCGGATTGCACAGCTTATATGCATGCCTCATGTTGCAAGCATTACCAAATTGGCAAACAGGAAACTGGGCTCAGGCTCCTTTGAGCAAAACTGGTTTCAACCTAGGCTTGTCTTGTAAGCAATACATGACATAGCGTGGGATAGACAAGCCAAATTTGTTTGGTTGGAAGGAGTATGGGAAACAGCTACCTACATTAAATGTTACTATCTATGAGGCACCACTTGATTTGAAGGACACAATTTAAGTAAAACACTACAGAGAGAGACAGTATTCCTTTCTTTCCTTTTTATAGATAATTAAAAGGAAGTACTACACTGTTTGGAAAGAGCAACCAACCACAGGAATTAGTGTTTTGTGGACCCTTGGTATCTGCTGAGGTTTAGTTCCAGGATGTGCCACAGACACTCAAATCCAGCAATGCTCGTCCCATTATATACAATAGTGTGCTGTCCCTTATACAAAATAGCAAATTCAAGGTTTGTTTTTTGATTGAGGAAAAGGAAGAACTAATGTTTTCAAACCGTGGCTGTTTTAATTTGTGGTTACAGTATCAATGGATAAAGAGGGCTGACTGTCTTGCTTTATGTATGTGCCTTCAAATTGCCTGTTGACTTCTGGTGACTCCATGAATTTCATGGGAAATATTAAAAATGTATAAAATAGAGATGGTAATCATATGACCTTCCAGGTAATTTTAGGACTTCGATTCCCAGCATCCTTCACTACAAACGAATTCTGCCTATGGTTATGGGATGCTGCAGTCCAACAACATCAGGAAAAGTGCATGAATCATACCCCTACCAGTTCCCTAATAAACTGGAGCCACATCCAGCAAAAGGAGTGGGGTGATGTCAAAGAGACATCCCATTATGTACACACTTCTGCTGAGTTGGACAGTTTTATCTTCCTACTTGAAGTAGCATTAGGACAAGGTATGGGTCGCTTCTCTTTTCCTAACACTAAAAATTATTTCAGCTAAGTGAGCCAGTGAAACTATTTTGGAAAGCTACTTCTCAGATTTCTTCCCGTGGCCTTTCATCCACAGCTACACACTGATCCCCGGTCTTTCTTAGCCGGCTTTCCCAGCTGGCTCACCTGAACTGTGGGTTGTTGATGAGAGTCCTGAGTGCGGCAGCAAAAGCAGTGGCATCACCTGGCAAAAGGGCTGAAGAAGAGCAGGCCATAGGCTGGACAAGAGATTCGATCCGAGAGGGAAGGACTGACAAGTTCAGGAAGTGGAGCTTTGCCTTTCCGCCTGCACTAAAGATATATCTGGGAGAAGTCAGGGCTGGCTGGAAGCTCAACTGTGAGGCAGGAATGCAGAAAAAGGCCAAGGAAGGGGGAAGCAACACCCCTTATTGCCAGGCAACAGGCAGCTGCCCAGGCCCTAAAATCCAGATGCTGTGGGAGGGATCAGAAGGAACGAGAAGAGGACTTTTGCAAATGCAAGGAACAAGCCTGCAGAATAGGCCAGAGAAAAGTGGCAGATCAGGTAGTGGCAGAGTGAAACAAGCAAAGAAAAGAATGTAGGACACTTTCGAAAATAACATAAGGTGGCAGGCTGGCAAAAACCCCACCAGGCAAGGAAATTGCCTTTCTGAAGAGGAAGGGATTCAGAACCAGCTCAGCATTTGCTTGGCAAGAGCTCATCCCTGGAACTCAAGAGGCGTGTGATTGCCAGCTCCCTGTGTCAGCAAAATGAAAATGACACATCACTGTGACTGGAAGCCTCAGGGCTCCGGCTTTGCCTGGGACAGAATTGCCATGGCCATTTGCATTATTTCCTGAAGCCATATATAAACAGTTGCTTCATTGTAATTCTGTGTGTGTGTGTGTGTGTGAGTGAGTGTGTGTGTGTGTGTGAGAGAGAGAGAGAGAGAGAGAGAGAATATAAATTAATATCTCTATGAAAAAAGGGGAGGAGATAACAGATAGCCCATGAAACAAGGAGATTATATAGTATTCATATATAAGAGGTATTGTCACCACCTGTCTGTCTATACTCTTCTTTGTGTGTGTGCTTTCCAACTCACCTTATAGTGACCCCAGAAATTTCAAAGGATTTCCTGAGGAAAGAAATACTCATAGAGGCTTTGCCAGACATTTCCTTTGAAAGATTAGCTAACAGTCTTTTTGCCAACAGTAATCAATAGTCCCTTATGGTTTCATCACGGGGAGGTGATGGACTGGCACCGGGTACCGCATGGGGTCATGTGATAGGGACCATTACCAAAGCCAGCAGTCCTGCCTACTGTGCCAGTTCACCACATCCATGTGACAAAGCCCTGGGACTTGAAAAAGTAGATGTGAAGAAACAAGACAAGTTCCCGAAGTCTAAAAATATCTCAGTAGATACCAAAGTCAAGATTGTTCAATGGCATTCCAATTTTTCTGTATGCTTGTATGAATGCATGGTTGTAAAAGTGGACTGTGAAGAAAACCGATAGGAAGAGAATCAACTCATTTGAAATGTCGTCTTGGAGGACAGTTCTGTGGATATTCTTAAATGTCAGTAAAACAAATAAATACCGGTAAGGCCTAGATACAATCAAGCCTGAACTCTCCCTAGATGCCAAGTTATCTAAAATTTGGAGCCTTTCTTTCGACATGTCATGAGAAGGCACGATTTACTAGAAAAGACAACAATACTTCAATAAGGTGGAGGTTAGCAAAAAAAAGAGGAAGATCACATTCTAGATAGAAAGATGCAATCCTTATAGGAAAACCTCTCCCCTTGAAAGAATGGGAAACAATATGGATGAAACGATTAAAGTATACCTATTCATCGGATATGAAAGAGAACTGGCTAAAAATGCTGCATCGCTGGTATCTCTCACCTCAGATGATAGCAAAAATGTATAGGAATACGGACAACAGATGTTGGAAATGTAAAGTGAGGGAGAGATCCTTTTACCATCTTTGGTGGCTATGCCCAAAAGCGAAAGAATATTGGAGGTCTATCCATAATGAGTGTAGAAAAATCTTAAAATTAGAAATCCCAATGCTCCCAGAACTATATTTATTAGGAATGTTTGATAAAAAGCTCTTCCCCAATAACAACTTGGAAAAACTATTTTATTTTCTTTACTACAGCCGCCAGAATGATATACGCCAAAATGTGGAAGCAAGAATTGACACCAACCATGATTCAGTGGCTAGGAAAGCTGATAGAAATTCAAGAGATGGATGAATTGACCTTTTGGTTAAGACAAAACACCGGAAAAGGTTTTGAAATGACAGATTGGAGTTTGCTTAAAAATTATATTGAGAATGAAAGATACGGGAATACTGGGTCGGATTAAGGTCGCTATACGAGAGGATGTAGTAAATGTAATAATGTCAAAAACAAATGTAATACTAAAAATAGGAATCGCAACTTAATGAATGTAAATTTAGAATACTACAAAAAGGAAATAAGGTTTTAAGAAATAATATGTATTGTTACAAAAAAGTTAGTATAAAATCGTCTTAAGAAATGAGGAGAGAAGGACTGTAATAACTACATTTATTGTATAAATTGTCTCCCATGCAGGGAGAACTTAACATTGTAAATGATTGGTGAGGGGAAGTCGGTTTTATAGGGGTAGGCAGGGGGGGATCCAAGGGGCACTGTATGTATGTTTGTCGGTTATATATGTATGTGTTTTGTATCTAGGAGTAGTCTGTTGTACTATTAGGTATACATGTTATTAGGTCGTATATGTTGATCTGTTCCGTCATTGTTTCACTGTTCTCTCCATATTTATTGTAAGTGCAAAACTAATTAAAAATTTATATATATATAAAAAGAAAGATGCAATCCGGAAAGTCATGACCCTGGGTATGCAAGATCTAAGCAAGTCTGTTGATGACAGGCTGACTTAAAGGTCTCTCATTCATAGGGTTGGCATAACTTGATGGCAAAAACTAACAGAGGTCCCATGCAAACAAAAAGAAAAGGACATACCATGACCATGAGATAACTGGGTAAATTGACATTTCTTCATCCATTTGCAGACACAATGTGCCTCCCTTTGATTTCTGGGTCTGAGCCGACTTGATTTAATGATTTGAGTGTAAACTATGATTCTGGAGACCAGGGTCCCATTCCCCATTCAGACATGGAAACCCATTGGATGACACTGGGTGAACCACATTCTGCTGTAGAAAATCACCGTGATTTTCTTATGGTGACCTTAGGGTCCCCATAAATCAGAAATAGCTTGAAGGCACACAACAACAATGCAAGCAGAAGCCCTAATAACAGCACCTGCCACCTCTACAATCATCTTTCATTTAGCATTTGTCTCAAAGAAGCTTTCTAGTTTATGTAACTGGCCCATATAGTGTTCTGAAGTGCCAGTACACTGTCAGTCTCTTTTAATCCCTCCTTGGCCACTAGAAAGTATCTTCTGTGGCTCCACTTAAATAACTCTCTTCCTAGGGAGATCAGGCTGTCACCTACCCTGTCCTCCTTCCACAAGACATGGATGTTCCATTGTGCCTTTGATTAGGCAGTTCCAAAGAATTAGCCCTTTAATACCTAACTTCCGGCACTTTAGCATGGCCTTCCATGCTACAATCCTGATGTTATAAAGCCCAAGGACATTACTCTCCCATTCCTGCCACTGAATTTTGCACTTTTCCTTAGCTCTGTCTAGGAATTTTGCACAAACCCAGAGCCCTCTGAACTCAGCACTTTTATTGCTCCTATGGTACTATTTTCATGATGTTATGTTTTATTGTGATATGTTTCCATTTGGTTTTGTTTTGTTTTGTTTTTATTCTATTACATTACGTTTTAACTCTGTGCTCTCTGGGCTTGTCCCTTTGTAAGCCACCCGAGTTCCTTCAGGAAGATAGAGGCGGGGCATCAAAATTAAGTTGCTATTATTATTATTATTATTATTATTATTATTATTATTATTATTAACAAAGCTGATGTTCTGACAACATCTCATATCTGGTTGGAAGTCTTAAAGTCTTATAAGGATGACAACATTAAAAATATATGTTACTACTTTGCTATTACATAAATTTTGCTTGCAAGTATGCTAAACTTCTCCTTACTCAGCTGGGAAGCTGTCACACTCATATGTGGGCTCCATAAAACAGAATTGACTTCCACCTTGGGAGACTTTCTGTCTGCACACACACACACCTCCTGGGATGGAAGGCTCCTTAAGCAAACACCATAAAAGTTTTGGACCATACTGCTGACAGCTAGTTAAAGCTCACATAAATGCCAATTCTCCCTAGAAAGAAATGTATGTTGCACTTCCATTTGTATAACTTTTTACTTGGTAATTAAGCACTGCTCTTGTCAAGAAGGGATGATTATACTTGTAAAGAAACTAGTTCAGATTAGCCTGGAATTACCCAACCACAGAGGGGCCTTCCCCATTTCTTCCATCTCTTTTACTCCTGCAAAATGATATGAAGGAAACTGTTTTTTGTTTTTAAACGGCAAACTTGGCCCTGGATCTGTCAAAACATCTAGCAGGAGAATAGACAAGACCTGGGGTCCTTTCACAGTACATATGCGGTCATAGTATAGCATTATTTTTAACTGTTGTGAGTCTGTCCAATGGGATCCTGGTAGTTTGGTAAGGCACTAGAACTCCCTGGTTCTAAATTCTAAATGCCCCTTCCTATACTGCAAATCCCAGGATTTCATCAGATGGAACTATAGTCATTAAAATGGAATCACAGGTTAAAAGGGCTCATAGCTATTTGTTTCAAATGGATAATGCTTGTGGAAGAAAGGAATTCACTGCTCATACTGGAACTGGAGGAACCATAAAGGAGTAGCTACTTGGTAATGTAGAAATAGAAGTTACATTTTACTGTAGCAAAAAGTCCAACAGAAATATCATTTGTACATGTGAAATGAGCCCCTGTTGTTCTCCTTTCCTGCTGCAAAGCAGCACTGGGATGAAGTCCTTTCGAGAAGAGAAGTTATTTGTGAATCAGGTGCTTAATCCTTTTATTTCCTGAAGTTTCTTTCTCAGCCAGATGCATATTTCCAGTCAACAAACATCAAAGACATATTTGCAGTCAACAAACATCAAGTTGGGAAGCCACTGGAGAGCTGCAGCAATAAAATAGCAAGCAGGGTCAAGCACACACAGAAATTCCTATATACACAGTCTTGGTTTCAAGTTATCACTTTCCAAGGCTACTTTGCAATAAAGTATCGTCACTGGGATTTCACTACATGTGTTCATATGTAACTGGTAAGTACATCTGAAGTTTCTGGTGCTATTCATCAGATCTCATCCTGTTTACAGAACAGGAAGAGATCTGCAAAAATTAGGTCAGCAAATATTGTTTTCTAGTTCATTTTGAGAGG